TCTCTCTCTCTCTCTCTCTCTCTCTCTCTCTTTCTCTCTCTCCTCTCTCCGCTCTCTATTCGACCTCGCGCATCATATCATTCCATGATTCACTTCCACAGTCTACTACGATGAAATCTGCGAGACAGGCGGGAGCTAGACCTGCTGCCAGACCCGCGGGAGGCTCACCGGCGGCGGGGGGCCCACTGGACGTTCGACGGAAGGCGCTTCCTGTCGGAGCTCGGGGACGCCCGGAGGAGCGGGAGTGGGAGCTTTCCCGGGTTCGACCACGCCAGGGGAGATCCGGTGGAGAACCAGTGGGTGGTGAGCGGCTGCCGGTGTTGAGGTTGTTGGCTTTCATCGGATGGGTGCGTTGTGTATGTGCAGGGCCGTGGTGATTGGTAGAAGGAGTTCCGTGGGGGGTAGCAGATTCCTCGAGAAGCGTACAGCGACGATGACCAGGCAGGTCACTAATGAAGGAATTATTTTGGTTTCATTCGCAGTACAGCCGTGAGGTGTTTTTTTTTCGCGTGGGCAACGCCTTGTGTTGTTGGTTTCCCAACAAATGGTCAGCATACGGCCACTAATAATCGTCAATGCTGGCATCAATTCCTTATGTTCCGTTTGGTGTCGTCCCGAATCACACGAACAGGTGCAGCCCTCTCACTCAGTCGTCATAGTGGAGGGAAACTACCTGTTGCTCAAGGGGGTAGATCCCTGGGACCAAGTGGGAGGTCTGTTCGACGTCACGTGGGCCATTCGATGCCCTCCAGAAGTCTGCGGAGAAAGGTAAGCCTGCTTATTGCCGATTTCAAGAGGGTGGTTGAGCTGCAAGAATTATTACATGTATCAATATCGAACGTCACCCGCAGTTCAAACCGCCCCCTTCCGCATACGACGTAATTCACAGGGAATATTGAACCTCTTTTGGGGAGGATATCTCCGAGTCCGCGTGGTGGAATTTACTGCTCTATCGTTAAAGTCTTACGTCACTATTGGTCCGATTCGGTTGCGTTTGCAATTCCATAACTTTGTGTGCCGAAAGATCGCCGGCGTTCCTTGGCCTACGAGAACAAACTTGCGTAGCGACCAACGACCTAGGTCGTTCAACAAACGTCCCCCCCATTCGGACGCTGCCCTACCTTCCGTCATCATCAAGGGTAAGAAGAAGGCACATGTCCACAGGTCTGGGGGAGGAGGAGGCTTGTGCCAGGGTCGAGGGAAACGATCTGCCTAACGCTAGGCTTGTATCCGAGAAGTGTCCTTGGAGCGAGGTCGACGTCGTAATCGACAGCCTCTAGAGGTTATCGCGATGCCTGATCATCAGTAACATGTGGTTGTTTTCGTTTTGACCAAGAGTCTTGCGGTGTGTATTCATGCTCCTGCAGACGGAGCATGTCGAACAGGAGGTTTGGCTGCGAGACAAGTTTGCTTTCGTCACAAGCCAGCGGCATCACCACAAAGTTATCGCTCTTGGAAGGAATAAGGTGTCATGTGACCTGCCTTGGCGTGGGTAAACTGAGCCGCCCCGACAGGCAGTCTTCTTCTGTCGTTTTGTTGCGATTTCTCTTCGGCGAGACGGAAACGTCTTTTGTCTTTGTTGTTGTTGCACAAACAAGACTGCGCCAAGGTTGTTCACTGCCGGCGGGTTCGGTCCTCAGAACTTGTCTGTTGTGCCCCGGAACCCCGGGTTGTTGCAGCACAAAGCATGCTGGTGGTCGTACCCCGCTCATCACACATTGGTGCACATGTTTGATCACAACTTGAATGCATCTCGGGTTACTCGGCCATGTTCGGAATACTGTAGGATCTGCGTGCGGTTCATCGAATCGATCCAAAGAAAGGCACCGCGCCGGGCTCTCGAAGAAACACGGATGTATTGCCCTCTTCGCGCGTTGCCGTGAAGCAACAGTTTCGCGACCACTTTGTCGAGGCAGAGGATGGGAACAGAATACAGTGACTATTGTAGAGAAACCCGTCAGGCTGCCAGGTAATGCCGGTGACGCCAATAGGTTTTAGGGCATCTCAAAGAAGCAGCGAGTGAGTGACAGGGTGTACCGCGATATTATTGCTTGGCAGGAAGTAGACCAGATCCCCAAGGTGGGGCTGAACATTCCAGCTTCGGCGCGAGAAGCGCAGTGCAGAAGTTATTTGGCGCCAGGAAGAGAGATCTTCGATCAAACCTGCACCAACAGCACTAGACCTTTAAGCCATTGGAATGGATGTAGAAGCTCAAATTTACATGTGCGACAACGACATGCTTTCGTCCTGCTCAGGTGGTAATCGTCCGGTGTTCAAGTGATCTATATTCCCAAGCGAGGTGCCGGAACTTTAGTCCAGGCATCATCAGAGATTTTTTCAGAAAGTCGCCAAAGGCATAACAGCCATGGGGAAACCACGCATACCAACCAGCCCCGCCTTGTGTAGTGAAATCCTCCATCGAGACCAACGGAACCCTGCAACAACCAAGAGCAGAATTTTCATTCCGCCGAAAGGTGGAAGGACACGCCCAACAGGGACAGTATCGAGAACCACTGCTTGAAGGAAGTCGTTGCGACTTCACAAAATACTCATTGCGGACACTCTCAGTGAAGATTCAACGGGGCTCGCGTCTCTTTCTCGAAAAAATTGCGCTGAAGAGGGTTGCACACCGTGCACTACTTGCAACGTTTTTTGTCAGGCGGAAATCTACCTCCCCTTCAGCTGTCTGCCAACGCCTGTTCACAACTCTAGTGCGGGCACCGTAAGCTTGTGAAGCCACACCGATGGTAAGCCGTACGCCAACCCATCATACGATTTGCACCCCAACACGAGCACGAAACAACACACGGTGCCAGGATTAGGATCAGCCTCACCCATGCACTCTGCTCAGACAGGTAAAGGATGATGAGTCTTGTACCGACAAAGTCACAGAGGACCAAATGCTGCCAAGGGCAGCGGCGAGCGGATTCTGCAAATCTGCTCGCAGTTCAACTACCTGGCATACAGGATCGATCAAAGCACATGTAGAGAGAAAAACCAACGCAGCGGTTCCACATGTGCAGGCCATTCCTTGTCACCATTCTCCTATCAACTCAACCCGAACAACGACCTTTTGAAATGAGTCGGGTGAACCTTCGAAAATGAGGAGCAATTCCCAGGCTATCCGTAGGGACAATACGGTTTTTCGGCGTTTGTTGTGTGTCCGCGTCGCTCAAAAGGCTACGCGTTCGAGATTCACTCGAGACCATGGTGGCAGGGTGAATGTCGAAGGGCATTTGTTTGTAGGGACACCGGCCTCAAAATCGAGCGAATCTGCTATGCTGTATGGCCCTGACACAAGCAAGAATTGGATGCTCCGGAGTACATATTTTTTTATTGTGCTCTTTGACATTCACTCGACCACCGTAAAGAGAAGTAGAACATTTTCGAAGCAGCTTTTTTCACATCACCCTTGCTCAAGAATGCGGGTTGAAGCTAAGACGGGTCACGACCGTAGGATAACGAAACTTTTCCCCACCTGCCACAATGAGCGTCACGCCGAACTTGATCATTCTTTTTATATAGAACATCTACTTGACTTCTGTACATCTTGCAGCGGAGCATTTTGGGCCTGAACCATCGATGCGACAAGCGAGGTGGACGCCGATGCATTCCGAACTGGAGCATTGCACTAATCCGGCATCGCAGGCACGAGTCGTTCTTAATGGGCCAAGATCATACAGTACACCCACTTCTGTTGCCGGGCATCGCATGGTCACCCCCACCGTGCGGCAGCAAACGATCATACTGGCCCCATCGCACTCTAAGCCCCAAAGAGAAATAACTTTACACTTTTCAAACGGACTGAATGTACCCTCGCAAAACGTGGATGCTTCGCCTCCCTCTCTCTTTGTCCACCCATCCCTCCCGCAAACAGTAGAGGGGGAACCTGCTCTCCATCTGGATGATCAAGGTACTGCTTGAACTGAAAAACGGGCAGAAAAACTTCGCAAAGAAACCCAACGCGTCATGAACTCGAAGTAGGTCATCATGTCGAAGGGAAGAGTGCCGCCGAACCACTCCATAGCCCGGCAAGACGCAGATCTTGTCCTGGCAAACGGATTCTTCACGGCTGACCACGCGCGCTTCAGGACCTACCGAGAGGTGGAGGGATGCAAACAAACATGAACGACATAGATGGTAGTTGGGAGGGGGGTGCAGCGCTTTGAGACCAATGAAAATCCTATGGTTGTGCGTGACACAAGCTTAATTCCTTCGGGCGGTGTTGAGGTGAGCCTCAAGGGCATATACTCGTTACCATGTCCTCCCGTGTAGTACCTTGCCACCCTTTCTTGCCGCGACAAAAAAAAAACGTGGTGAGTAAGGACAAGCTCCCTAGGGCGGTATCCGGACAATAAACAGCATTTCACAGCACATCACGAAGCCGCAGAGAAACAGCACTGCTACAATGCGAGAGCTACACCAGGTGGTGAAACTACGGTGCCCCCGCGTAGTTCACCTGAGGGGGGCGGCGAGGGCGGGGACGAAGACAGGGTCCATCATCGGGGCATTGTTGTTGCTCCCCTCTCCGGCGAACGACTTCAAATCTCGGTTGTACGACGGCATGGCCCTCAAAGGAAAGAAAAGGGGCGGCAGGGCCGGGGGAGCATAGAGAGGAGCGCTAGATATTGAGCACCCGCCAGTTTCATCTTGTGGATCGTAAAAAAATTGCGTCGACGATAGAGCTGATGCCTCGTGCTAACCGCGCTACGTCCGCATGCAGCACCCACGATTGCCATGTACCGTTAACACCCATTGCATGGGTAGGCACAGCCGTGAATGTACTTCTACCAACGCCATACGCAGCATCACGAGCGGCAGCTGCGAGGGAGTGACGCGTGCGGTGTGGCTACCTCTTACTAGCAGCGACAGCACCAGCGCGTCGCCATCGTCGTGCTCTACTGCAGCAGCAACAGCGGAGGCATGTTGATAGGCCTGCGCTGAGATGCACAAAACGTCGTGCTCTACTGCAGCAACAGCAGAGGCATGCTGCCAAGCCTGTGCTGAGATGCCCATCTCTTCCCTTTAACTCGCGTTGGCGTACGCCCGCTGCTTGCCCGCGACGTGCTGGTAGAATGTCTCGGGCATTGCGGGCTTCGCCACCTGGAGGAGGGCGATCTATTGGGCCTTGACCGTCCGCAGGATCTCCGTTTCATCGTTTTCCTTGTGACCTTGTCTGACAAGGAAAATGATGAAACGGAGATCCTGCGGACGGTCAAGGCCCAATAGATCGCCCTCCTCCAGGTGGCGAAGCCCGCCATGCCCAAGACCTTCTACCAGCACGTCGCGGGCAAGCCGCGGGCGTACGCCAAGGCGAGTAAAACGGACAGAACAACGAAGATGATGAATAAGAGATCGTGCGGACGGTCACGGCCCAACAGATCGCCCTCCTCCAGGCAGCGAAGTCTGCCATGCCGAAGACGTTCTACCAGCACGTCGCAGGCAAGCAGCGGGCGTACGCCAAGGCGAGCATAATGAAAGATATGGGTGCATCTCAGCACAGACCTGGCAGCACGCCTCTGCTCTTGCTGCAGTAGAGCACGACCATGACGACGCGCTGGCGCTGGCACTGGCGCTGCTGGTCTTCTTGTTGAAGATATTCTTCCAAAAATACTGCGGGGGGATGTGTCAAGTGTGTGCATAAGCGGGCGAAAGGCATTGTGGGACCGGGCAATGCTTATGTTGTTCACGACTACATGCCCGCCGGTGAGGCAAGCGCGGCATGTATTCCATTGCATGTAACAAAGTACACGCTTCCCTCTGATCAATAATTCGGGTGGCTCAGTTCTATGTGTTGGGAGTGTAGAGCAGCTGGGCCATGACGGGCCGCGGTAGGGGAGGGACGTATAGGAAAATGTATTGGGTTGAGAGAGTGGGGATCTCCGGAGACGGACCCCTCGCCACAAGATGCTGCTATTAGCCGATTATGGTGCCTTGAACGCGATCCACTGGGGTTCGAACCCGTGCGTGAATCCTTTATTCGGTAAAGGCTGACCATTTGACTTCATGCAAAGTCATCTTGTGGCGAGGGGTCCGTCTCCGGAGATCCCTACTCTCTCAACCCAATACGTTGTCCTATACGTCCCTCCCCTACCGCGGCCCGTCATGGCCCAGCTGATCTACATTCCCAACACACAAAACTGAGCCCGCATCACGGGTAGAGTACCAAGTAGCGCAGCGACTCTTAGGATGACGGAGGTTAAGCGCCTAGCGCCGTGGGATGGTATGGAAAGGCAAGGGGAATCAACAAGAAAACTTCAAGCAGCTCGTTGACAAATAACATGGATGCTGCACCTGTTTCTGCTAGTGATATCTGATGACGGCTGGTCAGGGCGTCGGCGAGAGTACGGGCGATGTCGTCTGCGGACGGGCCGGCCGACGGTCGCCCCGCATGTTGCTGGTGGCGTGTCTCGTGGTCGTTCGCGCTCCGGACGTGATCTGTCCTTTGCTGCTGCTCGTCTTGTTGCCTTGTAATCTCGGCCAGTCTCGCTGTAACCCTCTCATTCACCAACTCGTTGATCCGGGCGTCGTCGTCCACAGCTTGACGGTCGCTCTCTCGGTCTCTGTTTCGGTCGGGGGTGCTCATCGGTGACTGCTGCTAATCGCCGCAAAATGAGCGCTAGTACACGCACAGACGGGAGGAAAATGCGGGCACCTTAAACCAATGTAGGCACGCCACCAGCAACATGCGANACATACCATCCCACGGCGCTAGGCGCTTAACGTCAGTCATCCTAAGAGTCGCTGCGCTACTTGGTACTCTACCCGTATACCAAGTAGCGCAGCAACTCTTAGGATGACGGAGGTTAAGCGCCCAGCGCCGTGGGATGGTATGTATAGGCAAGGGGAATCAACAAGAAAACTTCAAGCAACTTGTTGACAAATAACATGGATNGCTAGTACACGCACAGACGGGAGGAAAATGCGGGCACCTTAAACCAATGTAGGCACGCCACCAGCAACATGCGAGGCGACCATCGGCCGGCCCGTCCGCAGACGACATCGCCCGCACTCTCGCCGACGCCCTGACCAGCCGTCTTCAGATATCACTAGCAGAAACAGGTGCAGCATCCATGTTGTTTGTTAACAAGTTGCTTGAAGTCTTCTTGTTGATTCCCCTTGCCTATACATACCATCCCACGGCCCTNGTGATATCTGAAGACGGCTGGTCAGGGCGTCGGCGAGAGTGTGGGCGATGTCGTCTGCGGACGGGCCGGCCAATGGTCGCCCCGCACTCTCGCCGACGCCCTGACCAGCCGTCTCCGTCCGCAGACGACATCGCCCGCACTCTCGCCGACTCCCTGACCAGCCGTCTTCAGATATCACCCGTTAGATAAAGTTACACCACTAGACTAGTCAGCGCTGACTAGTCTAGTGGTAAAACTTCATCTTCCAAAAGATATGCTCAGAGCTCATTTGCACCCGGCAGGGTCACATTTTGGGTTGGTGAGTGAGTAGAGATCTCCGCGGACGAACCCCTTGCCATACGCTGCCTGAAAAGAACTTAATGGTGCTTGGGAAAGTGAGCGGCCGGGATTCGAACCCGTGCGTGCATCCTTCAGCGCCAAGTGTTCTACCGTTAGCGCTGACTAGTCTAATGGTGTAACTTTATCTAACGTTCATCCGTTAAAGGCTGACCATTTGACTACATGCATAGTCATCGGATGACTTTGCATGTAGTCAAATGGTCAGCCTTTAACGAATACCCTGTCAATCCCTCAAAAACGTGAGCCGCATCCATGTTGTCATTTAGAGAAGGTGCACTTGCCATGAGTGAGCATCGGCTCTTCGAAATATTTTAAGATCCTATGCGGTGTTGGGCATTCAACTTGAACTGGGACTGCAGCCGTTGTATTCCTCTCTGGCCATGTCGCGCGCGCGTTAGTGCATCCAAACAACAAGACTTGAACAACAACATGATGGACACCAACAAAACCAATTCCGTCAAGGTGGGATAGGATGAACGCTTGATCACCAACATGTTTGTCTCATCCTGGCCGTGGTGGGCGCGTCGTCGAACACCACAGGCGAACCGCACTACGGCAAGGATCGCGAAATTATATTTTTTCCCCACCCCTCGGTGTTTGCCATCGGGATTGGGTTTTCGTCGCTTGGCAACGACGTTGTAAAACAAGCCAATTCACTTCGTGAACTCGGCAACCAGGTTACCGGTTTTTTTTTTCACCTCCGTTTTTTTCTTTTGGCGGTAACCATAATGGTGGTCGAGTAGATCATGTTGTGCGGGGTGGAGAACCCTCACTCCGCGCAAGGGGGATGATCGCACCACGTTGTGTTCAAATGGCCAAGCACCCTCAAGGCAAATACACAGTGCTTACAACTGTCTCTGGAAGTGAAAGCACCAGAAAGTAACTTAAGTCATACGCAGCTGTCATCCGTACGCAAGGAAGTAAGCACAAGATGCCGAA